GGGGGGGGGGGGGGGGGGGTAGGAATCATCAATTCTATGAACGGAACTCCGTAGGGGAGGCAGTGGCTTCCATTCCAGTGGCCATGGAACTGGGCTCTATTATTATTAGGATTAAGTTATTTGTCCAGCATAATTAGTATCCCATCTTATAACTAAATGTATGCACCGACATTTTGTGCTAGTGTGATATTAGTGTCATATGGAGTAATTTACATTAACAAAAAATGTCAGTGCAAATTTTTTTAATTAAACTAACATTGTTTGCCAGTATGAATCATTAAAATGTCGATAAATTTTTTTTAGGTATAATTTAGTGTACACTTTTGGTGTACATGAATGTTATTAATTATTATTATTACCACTTTGCTCTGATCCAACGGCATTAAACATTCTATTTTTAGAAGCGTTACTAAAAATAGTACTGCGTAAAGCAAAGTACCTTTGCCTTTAACTTACCTTTCCCCAATTAAAAGTTTTATGAAAACTTAGAAGTTTCTTCTTAAAAATATTTTCTTTTACATAAAATAAAGTGAAATTTTATATTTTTTTCAATTCATTTTATATAAAAATATAGTCTAGAAAAAAAATAAAACAATAAAATATACATATTTAAAAACTACGTCAAAAGTTTTCAAGATAAGAAGTGAAAAGAATATGAAAATCTATGAACAAACAAAAACTTCCGTCATTTTGAATAGTGAACGGTAATACACTTTTAAGGAAGGAGACACTATTTTGAAGACAGAAATATATCTATAATTCCGTACATATTTAATTTCTCGAAGAAACATGTAAACGTAAGTTGATTTTAATAAATTACAAGAATTCCAAAATGGAAAAGAAACATTAAATCTAGTAACAAGAAGTCAAGAATTACATGTTTTTTTCAACCTTTTATTCCAGTTATCTGAATTTCAAACTCCACCTTTCATAATGCAAACTCCAAATACTAGTTTTTAGTTTCAAGACTCGTGTTATTAGGTTTAGTTTTTTTAATTGTATACTCCAATTATCAAGCTTTTAGTTTTTTAAGACGAGACTCCAAATTTCAATTATCAAATTTTAGACTCTAATTATCAGTCTTATAGACTCCGTGTATCCCGTTTATATGATCTGTTTCAATTTACGATGTTTGATTTAATTTTTTTATTTTGTTTATAAGACAATTAAAGTAGAGTTAAAAATTAAAATTTAATATTTACAAGCTACATAAAAAGAACTTTACAAAACAATTATTTTATCAAATACAACAAAAATGGGTAAAAAATTTGAATATATTTGGTTACTCCCTCCGTCCCTAAATGAATGTCACTGTCACTATAACGGTTGCTCGATAATTTTTATTTGTTTGTGCATTTTCATTGATCATTTGTTAAAATAAATTATTCTTGTCATCTCTTATTCTGTAGAACCTTTCATGTATTTTTGAACAGTGTAATTTATAATTTTATTTTTTGATAATTGAATTTTAGACGTTGTTTAGAGTGTGGTCATTTGTGGGACGATAGGAGGATATGAATGGTATACAAGTCATTTACTAGCGGAATGATGCCGCCATGGCTCTCCCAAATAAAAGGTAATCTATTCGATCCCTTGTGTCGACAATAACTCTACAAGCTTTAATAAATTTAGAACGTATGAATATATATACTATTTTGTAATTGAATTATTAATATTTAAAAAATGAAAAAATAAATTGAAATTGAGTATAAAAAGTTAAAAACAATCACGGGTCTGCCAGAAACGTCACCGTTTCAGTACCGCACGCAATCTTGAAATTTCTGCTGGGTATAATTGAAGAAGGTTCTCTCTCACCTCTCATTTGCCATAGAGCTGCTCGAGTTTTTTCTCTCCTTCTTCTATAAACCGGTGCGACCGAGTCAACTCGCTCGCTCGGTCAGCTCGCGGCTTCGCTCGGCAACCGAATTCGCTCTTCCGCATTGCGCGTCCCTTTCGTCGCCTCGCGCCATTCCGATCCGTAAGTCTTCAATCTCTGTTCTTATATACATTCATGTTCGAACGCGGTCGGTTCAATCGGGACTTTCATAAAAAATTCAAAAATATCAGTAGAATTTGGGTGTTTTTTCTTATTATTTGCTAATTTTGCAGTCTTCATCTAACCAGCTCTTGTTTTTTCGAAAGCAGTAATTGATTCTAGCTTGAGACTATGAGTAGATGAAAATTTCTGGTCTTTGTGAATTTGGGATCAGTGGTATAAATTTTGTTACTTTTATTTGTTTTTGCATGAATTTTTTCATTCGAGGGATGAGGTGTAGGGTACTACTGAGGAGCACTGATCTATTCTGAAGATTGGAATTTAGCTGAAAAATATGGAATAAAGCTCTGCTTACACTACATTTTGGTGGGGATGAATGAGCATAAATGAGCACAGTTCCCATTTTTGGAATATTGCATTTCTTTTTAAATTTTGGGCCTAAAATGGCAAAACCTTCCTATAGGCGTTATTAACTTGGCCTCCATTTTGTATTTATGCATTACTATTTTTAGCATTTTACTGATTCGTGCACGAAGAGGATACATAGTGATGACTTAGGTTGAATCCTAAAAGAAGAGAAATGGGCAAAAAAGATTGTAGGATAGGCTTAAATAGAAATAACATAACAGCCAAGATTTGTACACATCTGAAGATATTAATCAGCTTAGGTGTTTCCTAGTTAAAAAATAGTAAGACCCTGTTTTGATCAGCTTAGGAGTGTATTAGAAGAATCGTGTTTAGCATATACTTCATTTATTATGAAGCAAATGAATATCGTTCTCTTCATCTCTTAAGAGTTTATGCCTACTCAAAAGGTGCAACTTGATAAGTTCTTTAAGTTGTACGGAGTATCATTTTCTCTGCATAAAATTTGCAAATTTTCGTGATCGTTTTTTTTACATGTAGTGTTCTTGTAAATCTGGGATTTCCAATGAAGTTTTTTTTTCTCAGGCACATTTCTTTTGTAGAGTTTTAAACCATGAGTTTTGTTTTCCGAGGAACTAGAGGTGATATAGAATCTGGATTTCCGGGTGTGATCCCTGAACGGCGTGCAATGGTATTTCTAATGGCTTTGAAAACCTCTGTGCAATCTTCTTTCCTATTAATTTGCTCTTCTAGGAATTTTAACAATTGGTTGAGCTCATTCTTGATTTCCACTTCTGATAGCGAGTTCATCCAGCACGGCCTGTTAATACCAACTCTCTTGCTTTTCTTGTAACTGGTATCTTCGACTTAAAATCTATTTTAGCATAATTTCTATTTGTGTTTCCACTCCACCATTTCTGTACATAATGCTAATTTTTCTCTTGTAACAGTTCTCTTGCTGTTTATGATTTTAAACTCACACCAAATGTCACCTAATTTTCTGGTTGGTACTAAATCTTCTCTTTTATTAGTTTGAAATTCTTAAAAAAAGCAATTCTGATATAACATAATTACTTTTCAGCTATGGTTGGTGCTTGGTGTCTTTGCGATGGCAACAACACTTAGGATGTATGCCACATGTCAACAACTTCAAGCTCAAGCACATGCCCATGCTGCCGCGGCCACTGGTCTTCTTGGTCATACAGAGTTGCGGTTGCATATGCCACCATCCATTGCACTTTCAACCAGAGGACGACTACAAGGACTCAGGCTTCAACTTGCACTTCTGGACAGGGAGTTTGATGACTTAGGTTCGTATCCATTTTCAGATAAATTTTTGACATTCATTCTTCTCATATGGAAGCTCTCACTCTCAGTCTCAACCTTATCGTATTAGTCCTTATTAATGGGGTCAATGGTTATTTTAGAAAGCATTTTTTATTTTATGAAGCATTTATTATTATTGTTTTTCCATTGTTTTCCCTTAATAAGTATTGTGATCACACTTATTTTATTGAACTATCATTTATGTGGCATAATAAAATAGTGTAAAATTGAAATATCTTTTCTCTCTCTCTCCCTCTTAGAAAATCAAGACAAAAGCATGTACTTTCTTTGGTTGGTGTAATTTGGTCAATTGTGCCTTATAAATTAGGCTCCATACTTCATAATTACTTTCGGAGGGAGCATTATGTATTGAAATTTGGAACTTGTGAAAAGTTTTGCTTATCTTGAAGATCTGCTTATTTTATGCTACCTCTAGATTATGAAACCTTGAGGGCACTTGATGCTGATAATGGTCCTGAAGTTCCTTCAATGACTGAGGAAGAGATAAATGCTCTACCTGTTCATAAATACAAGATATCTGGGCCTCAAAGGTTAGTCATGGTGTATCTTCATACACACACACACACACACACTTGTGTTTGTGTGTGTTCACACATATGTATTTTTGTGTGTTTTAAAATTCCGAGTAATATTTAGGATAGTTTCATCTCTCAATGTGTCCTGCAGCTTCCTGACTGCATTAAGGGTTAGACCTTTATTGCATACATGAAGTTTCATTATCTCATTGCTGGCAAGTAGCATACGCTTATTGAACAGACAAAGGAAAAGAATGATTTTTTGTATTACGTTTTCAAGCAGGTTTAATATGTTACTTATGTTACCAACCAATCTATTTTTAAGTAATTTTGGAATATGCTTGGTTCCAAGCAATTTGGTGCAACACCGTATGTATTACTAGTACTGTAGTACATTATTGAAGCATGTTTTCCAGCTGTGCAGTTAAGCATTAAGGAAAGAACTCCAATGCTCGAAGAGCATTGAGTACTTGGTGTTCAAACATTTTACATTTTTAAAATTATTGGCTCATGTAAACAGCTCACACCTCCTGATTACCCTATAGCATGTTTATTCACTTTTTCAGTAGCCATAGCATTAAAGTTGTTTCCCTTAATATTTCCTCCTGATTACCCTATAGAATGTCACTTTTTTTGCTGTATAGGCTCTGAGCCTCTGACTGATAATACAACAACCCAGTGTAATACTATAATCCCACAGAAGTGGGTCTGAGCCTCTGACGGATAATGTTCACTTTTTATTTTCAAAAATAGGTGGGGGGGGGGGGGGCTCNGGGCTCTGGATAGGCGTTGAGCCTTTGGATTGTAGGAGTGCTATTTGTGAAACCATTTTATACGTGTTTGGGAAATACTTTTTTATTAAGGTCTTGATTTTGTCTTTGACACTTCGACAGTGGATTAAAATTTCCGATATATTCCGTATTTATTAATTTGTCATATTTTTATATATACTCAAAGAACCTTTTTTTTCCTTCCGTTGATATTGATATTTTCAACCTTTGCACTAACAAATTTCATTTATGATTATTTTCTTTGGATAGTGTTGGTTTATCCACGCAGCAGGCGTCGTGTTCGTCCTCGGCTGAGGATAAGGTCCTCTTTTCCTTACCTTTGTTGATTAATTGCTCTATGCAATTATATTTCTGCGCCGTTATTTTGTACTCCATCCCCAATAAGGATTCACTGTTTGAGCAAGATTCATATAAAATCGATTGTTTTTTGGACTAATGTAGTTCTTGAAACAAGAATCCTTTTTTTATTCTCCCTCCGTCTCCAAATGAAAGTTAGAGAGGAATTTATGAGGAAAAATGAAGTTTTTTACTCATTTTGTTTGAAAATTGGTATGGAAATAAAAAATAAAATTTACATATCTAAAAACTACATCGGAAGCATTACAAAACACGAGGTAACATGACTGTTATGTTATCAAATGATCAATCAAAATGCATAACAAAAGTTATCGTGACCCTGGATAGTTATTGCTATTATTTGTGAAGAAAACAACCTTATCCTGTCTTTCATACTTCTATCAGAAGAAGCAAGAGACAGCAAATTTTACAGGGCCGGCAAAGCCTTCCGGGGAGGAACTAACTTGCAGTGTTTGCTTGGAACAAGTCAATGAGGGAGAACTCATCCGCAGCTTGCCATGCTTGCATCAGGTTGTCTTCTTAAGGTTATTTTATCTCTTCCAACTCCAAACTCAATTCCTCTAGAATTTTTACTGTTTTGATATGAGGTTAAGCTTAAATAAATATACCCATCAACTTTGGAATGCTTTCTTACTAAGGCATGCTTGAATCCTGAAAATTGCTAGTGAAGAGGAACAGATGTTGAGGAAAGTTGTTTCCCTATGTCTGAGTTTACTTTGAAAATACAAAGGAACATGAAATATGCAATTATCTTTGAGATTTTACGTATATTTAGATTTTATAATATGTAAAAAAGGGCTGACTCAGTTCAAATACCCACTTAGTGAGTGTCTGTGGACTGTGGAAGGGAATACTCTAGGCAGTCTTGCCCCTGCTTTTTGCAGAGGCTGATTCGAACCCGCAAACTGACACACCACAGAAAGCAAGCTTACCGCTGAGCCAAGGGTATTTGGATAAAATCATCATCAAGTATCGAGGATTGGACATAAACATAATGAACTAGGCCAAAATACGATGGTTTAATACCGAATTTGGATGGAATGAATCTTAAAGGTCACAAACCAGTTATACGTTTGTGCCAAAATTATTTTCATGGATAAGGATCTAGGCCAAAATACTCTGTAATATTTTATCGTTGGTGAAATACTTTTGTGATGAAGATGAATGAAAATGAAGTATACTAATAGGATGTGTTTGTGCAAGTGTTTGGGGAGGCAAAGCCTTCCGGGGAGGAACTAACGTATATAAGTGAGGGGGAGATTGAACAAATATAAATAAGAACTCATTGAGTTTGAGTGTACTTCTCTACTTCCACATCGGGATAAGATCTACATATGCACATGCCCTACTTTTTATTGGGTTTGTTGTTGTATTGAGTTCTTTGATTTTCCTCCAGATCTTCTTTATATTTTTCGCCCTATATCCCATTTTCTATTCCAAGTGCTCTATAGAAGGTTCAAACAACAATAACAAAACCTAGTATAATCTCCACTTCGTTGGAATCCGGGGTCAAAATGTATACATTCCTATTCCTAAAAAGTAGTTTGTTTTCGTTAAACCCTTGATGTGCCATTTGTATCAAGTCTACCATTTCCCCAGAGCTAAAACATTGTCACAGATGACTTTTTTTTAGCTTCATTGACAATGAATGCATGCAAAATTGAGACTTTAAAATCCATTAAAAAAATTATTTATTTTTTGCTGGATTTTTTGTTGCAGTTCCATGCAAATTGCATTGACCCTTGGCTGAGGCAGCAGGGGACATGCCCTGTCTGCAAATTTAAGGTTGGGTCAAGATGGGAGAATGAAGCTGGAGAAATGGATGCCTCTTACATGGTTTAACATTTGCAGGGTTCGGTCCTCTCTATGTGAAGATGATGATGATGAGTCCGTGTGTAGGTGCGTAAATGTTCCTTAGTATACTGTTTGGTAGAATATAAATATTGCCTCCGTCCGGACTTAGTTGTCCCCTTTCTTGTTTTCATTCATCCGGAATGAATTCTCCTTTTTCAATATGCAATAATGAAATTACAATGAATTGTCTAAAATGTCCTTGAAATAGAGTATGAACTCATTGTTAACATGAATGAGTGATAGACTCATTTGAATGACTTATTTGACACTTTAAACTCATTTCTTGAAAGTAAGATTACTAAGAACGTTGACAACTATATTCGAACATGAGTAGTTTTTTTTCCAGAGTACATTCCACAAACGATCCTCTATATTGGGGGATATTCCACATTTAGTCCCCTATTTTGTGAAATTTCATAAAATAGTGGAATATTTATAATTGTAGAGGACCATTTGTGAAATTCACTTGTATTTTTAAAATTTATCTATTCATGCCATCTTTCTTCTCATTATGTCTTACCAAAACACATCCTAAAAGGATCATATTAAGTGCAGATAAGCTGATACTAGAAGACATCCTACTAAAGCAGGCAGGAAATTGTGTTCTCTTTATGACTTTCTTTGTTTTTTAGTCATTAGATTTTCTAAGGCTTTTGTGAATCCTTATGTAGTCTTGATAAACATGTCCTATGACACAATTTGTATGTTCAGGTATTTTTACCAAATTCCATCTGTCATCTATAATCTATGGAGTGTTATCTACTACGAGTATATTATTTGTACTCCCCATTACTTTGTTTTTTTGTTTGGGAAAGAAAATGTTTTACTTTTGATTTGGAAATCACAAATCATTTTCTTAAACAACGTATATTTTTAATTCGAAAGGAAAAGAAAATAATTTTTTTTCATTTTCCTCACCAAAATGGGATGAATTTGGTTTTTCCGCCCCTTACTATTTATTTTTTTCATTTTCTTTTCTTTCTACTTTTTTTTCTTTTCCTCTATAACCAAACAAGAAAAATATTTCTCTTCTACTCTTCTTTTCTTTTCATTCTCAAATTCTTTGAACTAAACATAGTGTAAATTAGAATTAAGTTTCTCAATAGCCTATGAATGGGGATGTATCTCTTGAGATTAGTTATCAGAAATAATGTAAAAAATTCTCTACTTCTCTGCTTTTGAGAGCTCCAAGACGCTCAAAATTCATTCATATCTAATACTTATATACATATCAATTTCTAAAAAGATTGTTAGGCTCTATAATCACTCTCTTTAAATTACTACCTCTGTCCCATTTTATAATGTCTGTTTCGGTTTACGATGCTTGACTTAAATTATTTTCAAACCATTTTATATGACAAATGGTATAGAATTAAAAAATAAAAATTATATATTAAAAACTACATCAAAAGATTTACAAAAATAGTAGTGACAATAATATTTTATTTTATCAAATTGCTAACGAAAATAGAGAAAGAAAGTGAATAAAGTTTGACTATGTGAATAGTAAACAAGCATTATAATTTGGGACGAAGGGAGTACCATATAGGACACTGTCTCAATTGAGACATTTACGGTGATATATTAGTAAAATTGATAATTTTTATCCCTCTATCCATGTAGTAAATCCTTTAACCAGTTCCAATCTCAACTCGTCTTCTTATCCACATCAATTACACCATGCAAGTTTTATTAACTTTGAGGTCAATTTTTTTTAATTCCAAAGTCAACCGAACTTGTGAGTTGCAATTGACGTGGATGAGGCCGGGATGGGATGAGAAGTTTATAAGAGAGGTTAGAGGAAGTATATAAGACATCGACATAGATAAAATTATACTATTTACGAGTGATGATTTAACTTTTATTTCAGTATTTTGTTGAACATAAAAATTTTCGTGTGTAATATAGGGAGTATATTGTCAAAGACCATCATGACATAATATGTCATGTCATGTCCAAAAATCAAATAAGTACTATGGTAAGTTTACCTATCAAATGTCAAAAGAAGAATGAATTTAATTTAAAGAATTAACTGACAATTAAAGACTTATGAAACATTTTTATGCTATAACACGAGAGTCTCTTATTCAAGTTTTGAATCATCTTAAACACGCAATCTACTAATTTTGTAATAACAATAATAATACTACGTAATAATCTTTTTTTATCAAACGCATAATAAAAATAATAAAAACTGAACGACCCAAAAAAAAAAAATTCATTTTGGTTTGCTTGAGAGAAAGCAAATAACATTAACTTGCACAAATCTGCAACTTGATTCGATGAAGTTACAATTGTACGGAGCAATATACAAAAACAAGTTTAAGGAGTGAAATATTAATTAATTAACCACAGTAATTAATTTAATTTAATGAAACTAACAGCTTTCCTCCTCGGTGTAATCAGGGCGAAGAAGAGCTGATCGAGATCCGGCGGCTGAAAGTACCCTCCCGCCGGCGGTTTCTTCTTCTCCCTCCTCCTCCTCCACGGCTTCTTCCGCGGCGGCGGCGGCGGACACACCTTCGCCTCCGGCGGAAGCCTACACCCGTCGTGCCTCGGCGTCCTGCAACCTTCCTCCGCCTCCGCCGCCCAATAATCTCCGCTCCTCAACTTCTTCATTATTCAGGAACAGGAATTGTCGCTAGTAAAAAACTGTGTCCATTTCTCAATCTGGTGTGTCTCTACATGTTTATATATAGATACAGAGCCGTCCTTCTTTTGGAAGCTAATGACGTTTTGACTCGGTCCGAATCGTAGGGTGGAAGCTGAAGCTGGCGGTCGTTTTGTTTCAGGCGGGGAAGGACACGTGGCGGAGCGTGAGTGGTTGTTGTTTTTGGAATGCGCGGGAAGGATGCGAATGGGCTCGGATTGGTTTTTTTTGAAGCGCTCGTAATCAGATATGGGCCAGTATATGCTTTGAGCTGGCCCAGTTCATTTAATTTGATGGGTGAACGGATAGAGTATAAAATAATAAAAAAACTTAATTGAAACTATTATCTTTTTTAGAATGTAAAAAGTTTGGGTGAAAAAATGTTTTTAGGAAGGGAGAGAGTATATAAAATAATAAAAAACTAAAATATAAATAAAATATAAATCACATTAACTATGAAGGATTTAGTAGAAGAAGAAAACAATTTGGGATAAAATAATGATTATGGGCTTAATTGAAACATAAACAAGATGACAAAATTCAATTTTTGTCTTTGTTGTTTGTTGGTGACATAAAAATCGGCAGGAGATCTTTTTCGTTATAAGATTTGAAGTTAGAATACTTTTTTGACATACATTGAAATTGAAACACTTTTTTGTAACTCTTTCGTTCCAAACCAAATTGCTTGTTCCAGTTTATGATGTTCGATGGAAACTATTTTCAATTCAAATTAGACAACAACAATAACAATCCAGGTGAATCCCACAACAGTAGGGTCTGGGAGGGTGTGTACGCAGACCTTGCCCTTACTCGGAAGTAGGGAGGCTGTTTCCAAGAGATCTCCGGCCGGCTCCACCTGCACAAAAAATGAAAGGGAACACAATATAACACAGATAAAGTACCAAGTACAAGCAACACGTACAAGCAATAGCAGAAGATTTCTAACAAATACAACACACTACAAAACAATCTCTACAACACCGAGCTCCTATCCAGCTACTCTAATCCTAGTTTTCCAAAGGTTCCTATCTAGGGCCATATCCTCAGTCAGGTCGAGAAGTGCTAAGTCCTGCCTAATCACCTCGATCCAATTCTTCCTAGGTCTACCCCGTCCCCTACTTCCCCTGATAACCGTAATCCTCTCGCATCTCTGTACAGGGGCGTCAGCATCCCGCCGTCTCACATGGCCAAACCATCTCAACCTCGCTTCCCGCAACTTATCTTCCACCGGTGCCATGCCTACCTGACGTCGGATAACTTCGTTCGAAATCATATCCAACCTTGTCTTCCCACACATCCATCGTAACATCCGCATCTCCGCCGCATGCAGATGACGCACATGAGTCTTCTTAATCGCCCGACACTCTGCCTCACATAACATAGAAGGTCTGACTACTGATCGATAGAAATTACCTTTTATTCTAGGTGAAATCTTTGGATCACACAACACCCCTGAAGCTAGCCGCCATTTGGCCCAAGCCACTCCAACACGATGTCCAACATCCGCATCTAACTCCCCATCAGCCTGGATTACCGAGCCAAGGTATCGAAACCTGTTTACCTTAGGTACTAGATGAAAGTCAATCCTGACTTCCTCTCTGATTCTGTATCCCGACCGCTGAAACGACATTCCATGTATTCAGTCTTGTTCCTACTTATTATGAATCCTTTAGTCTCAAGGGCAAGGCTCCATAATTCCAACTTATCGTTTAGTCCCTCACGTGTGTCGTCGATAAGCACAATATCATCCGCGAAAAGCATGCACCATGGGACCCCTTCTTGAACACCTTGAGTTAGGACGTCCATCACCAAGGCGAACAAAAAGGGCTAAGGGCAGACCCCTGGTGCAACCCCATCCCTACCGAGAAAGAATCTGAGTCGCCCCCGGAAGTCCTTACCTTGGTCATAGCCCCATCGTACATACCTTGGTCAAATTAGAATAGAATTAAAAACTAAAAATTATTCCCTCCGTCCCAATTTCTAATGCCTGTTTCGGTTTACGATGTTTGACTGAAATTATTTTCAAATTATTTTATATGACAAATGGTATAGAGTTAAAACATAAAAATTACATATTAAAATACTACATCAAAAGATCTACAAAACTAGTAGTGACGATAGTACTTTATTTTATCAAATTGTTAATGAAAATAGAGAAAGAAAGTGAGGGTCCGTTTGATATACGGAATTGATGGAATTGGAATTGAAATTCCATGGGATTCAATTCCATAGAATTGAATTCTGCCAATTCCAATTCATTTTTGCACTATCAATTCCAAATCTACATAATTTATGTGCTACCAAACACCAAAATTGGAATTGAAGTCCTCAATTCTAATTTCAGAGTTTGAATTCCGTGTACTAAACGGGGCCTGAATGAAGTTTGACTTTGTGAATAGTAAACAAGCACTATAAATTGAGACGGAGGGAGTACATATAAATTTTGACCTTGTGAATAGTCAAACATCATAACTGAAACGGGCGATTTAAATTGGAACGGAGGGGCCATTACGGAGTACAATCCATTCAATTGAGTAAAAGTCAGTGTAATTCAATGCAGTCTGAATTTGTCTAATAACATGCTCCAATTTGCCTAAAACAAAAACATTTTATAATATGTACACATTTGTGCACCCAAAGTACAAAACATAATTACATTAGATTGTGTATTTACTTTGGTTTTCTAAACAATTTGTGCAATTACAAAACCGTCTAATTGCACAACCTATTAGTAACTACACTAGTATCCAAACACACCCTTAAAGTTTATCCCCCATCATCACAGAGGCAATATTTCTCTGAAATATGGGAATTCTACAAAGTAATAGTCATGCCCACAGGCAAACAATGAGAGCACAATCTAAGGCCAAAAATACCCCCAAGTTCTTGAGGTTGTAGACAGGGATAGACCGGTAACGAACAAGGTCGATCTCGTCATTTTCTACCCCGCTTTCCAGGACGAGAGGGCGTAAATAATGCGCCCTTTCCATCCTAAGAACAACCACTTTCCGTCCCCGTCAATCATAAAATCTTTGTGGTACACCTTAACACGCTCCCTCGACATCCTCACGATTTCCTCGTTCAAACGGAGTTGTCGGAACCCCGCTCGCGTGTTCCGGACCCCACTCTGCTTGTACGTCTCGGGCCTCTCGATCCTCTCGGCGCCTTCACACGCTATCACATTCATCGCCTCCCTCCCGAACAACGCCTTCTCGAGGAGCATCCTCTCGTGAATCTCGCGTGGGACCGTCGCCTCTAGCATGTCAAACAAGGACGAGTAGTGGAAAAGGGCCTCTCGAAAACGCGTGATGAAAAACGGGGCACTGTAGGACCCGTTAACGGTCCCCATTACGAAAACGTCCGGTTTCAGCTTGTGGATCATGCCCAAAACCGCGTCCCTCGGGCTGTTCAAAACCACAGTCTCGTCGAGTATGTTTTTAAGTCTATATAGGCAATTCACCGCGAGTAACTCGCCCTTGATTATATTAAGATCTTCGAGTTTAATCGTTTCCCATTTCTGGGCTATGGCATTGAACTCAAACGGAACGTTGAAACGTTCTGCATAATTGGCCAAGCGTCGGCCCGTTTCTTCGACCCGCTCGGCGGGTCGGAACCCGGGTTGCGGGAAGTCGATACCAGTTATACGGAGCCTCGGGGGCCCACCGGGCATACACGAGAAACGTTGTATGAAGCAAGGCCATTGGAAGCCATAAAGAATGCCGAAATCGATGATGTGGAGCGACGTGGCATCTCGGGGTATTAGATTCATGATCGTTTTGTTGGAGAAGAAGTTCGAGATCTTCCTAAACGGGCACGCAGCTAGGAAGAGTTGGTATGCTTTCAACACGTCGGCAGCTGATGTGGGCATCGTTATGAGGGCTTTGTATATGTGGGTCCCACAACCCGCCATCCGGGCCTCGAGCCCGTCAGCAAAATAGTGGGCCATCCTCTGCATCCCGTCTCCCGTTTGGGACGAGTGTCTTCTGATCTGTTTCAGAAACTCGTCCGCAGTCCTCCGGTCATTGGAAGCAACCGCTTGCGCGCAAAGCGTCAATAGCGTTCTCAAGTCCACGACTTTGTCGCTTTCACCGCTGTTTTCTCTTTTCCAAAAGGATTTCTTCCATTTACACCCTTTCTGATGGCCATTGTTATCCCCTGCATTTTTACCAGAAACACTCTGCCAAGATCGACGGAGATCAGACTCATTTTTACCGCCGCTGCACAGTAAAACCATGTCGAACACTTCTGGTTTAACGGTCGATTGTGACGAGACCGCCGACTGCTTGTAACTCCTATCTGAATCTTTCTCTTCTTCATCATAATGCACATTTTTCTTCCCTTTTAACCCTTCTTTCATGAGTTGTACTGTCTGTACCACGGATTCACCGTAACCCGGTCTGCCGGGGATCGGGAGAGTACTAACCGGTGAATCAACTACAGCCCATAAGCTACTGGATGATGAACTAAGGGACGACGGAGAACCACGGTCCCAATTCAGGGATGATTTCAAATCACAATCGCCGACATTGCCATTGCCAAAACTACCCTTTTGATCAGCGGATGGTGGGTATTTCTCGCCGATGACCTCATAAAAAGACCGTTCGGCCGCTTGGAGGGCGGCGGACTCTTGAAACATGCAAGCCTTCTCTTCCATATCCTCTTCCATTAGCATCTGGCTAATATACTTCAGCACCAAATCACTAAAATCATAGTCCTCTTGAACACCACCGCAATTCAACCCGTTGATCGGATTTGGATGCCCGAAAGACGGGAAGTATTCAGAATTCAAATTTTGGGAGTCATCAAAGCTCTGCTCGTTCCACGTATTCGGAATCGGGCCTTCGTATTTTGCATTCTTGGCTATAGAATTCGGGTCGAAACCACAGATAGCTTCTTGGTTGAGATAAAGCTTCACCATTTCATCCTGCAGTTCAAACCCAGAAGTGGTCTGACAAGAACCACTTGAATCTCTATCCATGACCATCTAATCTTCAAGAAAACAAGAACCCTAATCCAAGTTCTCTACTTGTCCAAGCACTGCAAAAACAAAATTCAAGAACCCATTAATCAAACCCTGCAACATCCCCAATCATTCCAAACATAGAAATCATAATAACATTTGTTAGAGTATCTCACATCGGAAAATAAAGAACAAAATATTCGGTTTACAAATTACAAGCTCTTGAGTTGAACTAGTAATCAATTGGATCGATTGTTTTAGTGTAGTTCATGGCAAGTCTCTTATGGCCTAGTCCATTGACCCTTACTCAATCCCAAATTCTAATGGGAAAATGAACCCAGAAATCTGTTTTTAATGGGAGAATGATGATGATTATGATGATGATGATGATGATGATGATAATAATAATAATAATAATCCATAATACATGTAATATTTAATGAAAAGGAAAAAAATACAGACACAAACCTTGTAGAAACATGGTTTATCAATAGCTATCAACTTTAAAGATCAGATGATTAACACAGAAAAATGTAATAAACTAACTTCATGTCAACATTAATAATTGCAAGGAGTAGAAATATGAAATACTGAAATATATCAAAAAATAGTCTTTGAGTGGAAATAGTAATGAAATCGAGCAGAAAAAATGAAATCTTTATGCTCAAGAACACAGATAAACCGAAAAAACACAACTGGGATTATGAGTGTTTGCATACGAAATTATACTAAAATCTGTGTAGGATAATAAAGAAAGTGATACCTGGGAAAGATGTTTGGTTGGTCCAGAGAAGATGGGAGGAATAGTGCTGGGAAGATAAATCTCATTGATAAGAGCAATGCCCCCAAATGTACACCACTCCCTTCTCTGCCACCCATTTTTATATGATTTTTATTTATTTATTTATTTTTTGAATTTCTTGCTAATTTATGTGGATAAGAAAGGGGTGGGGGACATATGAGGTACACCTTTCATAATTATGGTGTCCCTAACATTTAAAGCAAGAGGATGAGAGGAAATCGGGAAATACTATGTGTACACCATATGGGTACACCACTTCTACCCCATACATACCCCCTTTCCATAACCCCCTCCTCCTCCCTCCCCCATCTTTCCATAACCCCCCTTCTCTCTCTCTCTCTCTCTCTCTCTATCTCAGATTTTTCCGACGAAGCAGGAGCGAGCGACTACCGGAAGACCAGTCCTCCCAGAGCTCCTTTTTGGTCTTCCTCGTTCTTCCTCTGTAGCAACCCCTACTTCGCCATCCTCCATCCAGTGCATCCGTAAAAGATCCAACTTGGCAAAGAGCGCCTCCTTCGTCTTCTTCGATCGGTTGCACCCATCTGGACACTGTAAAACAACAAATTAAAGGTAATAATAAATACTTATATTTCAATTTTTGGGTTTTTATTTTGTAAATCTAGATTCAAACGCTCAATCCTTCCCTTTTGTGAAATTAGCCTTTATTTATGTTTTTTGTGAATCATTGTTTCTTGAACTTGTTAAGTTGTTTATTTCCTTTTTGAATCTTTTTAGGTGCTAATTTTTCAGTAATAACTTGTTGTAATTGGGCATTTTTCATGTTTATTACGAAATGTCTGTGTAGTACTTCTTACTGGTGTAAAATATTTGTATTCTAATTAAGAATATTAGATTTCAAAACTTGTTTTGAAAGTGTTTGTGAAGTGTTTGTTACTGACATAGAATGTCTGTTTTCCAAATAAGGGTGCCCAATTTCAAAACTTGCTATGAAATGTCTTTGAAGTGCTTCAGTGCTTTTTATGAGTGTGAAATACCTGTATCTTAATTAATAGTTTGAAATGTATTTTGAGTGTGTATTATTAGCTTAAAATGTATGTATTTTATGATCACCAATGTTAAAGATTTGTCAGTCAATAAATTACTCGTGTTTTACTTTGGTTCAATGGCACATGAGGAATATGAATTCTACTATCTAGAAAGTGTACATAGAAAGGAATATTTTACAATATTAACAAGATGTGATGATTAATTTTGGCAATCCGTGAATCTCGATCTTTTTCTCAACAATTCCTAAGGGATATAAGTTTGTGATCTGTTTGCTGAGCAGTGCAGATTTGTAGTCTTTGTTTCTGGAGATTTATTATCCTTATTAGTACAGAGTATCATTTGTTTGTTAGTTTTTGCTTATGGATCTTAAAAATAACAATGTTTTCAGGTGTTGATGATTTTTGCCATGGAGGGCCTAAGGATTCAAAATTAATATTTTACAATATCTAGAAAGGAATATTTTACAACATTAACAAGATGTGTTGAAGTTGTGTGCTGAAAGATTGCTTCTTGCAGAGAATGGCCGAAGTCAATATTGGTGATGGAAAAGATGGAATCATCACATGTCACTAGAATTTTTTATTCTAAAATTTTGAAGGATGTAATGTTTGGTATATAAAGTTTGGGGGTGTTACAATTTTGGATGTTTTTAGTTCTTTTGCTTGCTTTAATTGTGGAATTGAAAAGGAAAATTTAATTTTGCTTCGTTTGTTTCTCATTCTTGAAAACAATATCTCATTGTGCTATATTATAACTTACACTTTATTGTAACTACATCTCCCCCTATTTTACTATATCTAATTCTTGGCTCTTTGTAATATTATTTATTGTGTTTTATGGTCACATAGACAAAAACTGTCTGTAATTCATCAAAAATAGATGTTTATTGTCTATGTAAAAATCCATCAACTATACCATGTAATGGAACATAAAGAACATTTCATAATTTCTCTATATTGTAAAAAAATTACAATTAACACAGCTTAGCTATAGAGACATAGACACTATATATATGTAATTCTTGATCAAGAACATTTCATCAAGACTATCACAGACACTAGGTGTCTGTAATTTCAGTGACACAGACGGTATATGTCTATGTGAAAGATAATTACACACACAAAAACATACTCCGTACCAAATACCAAGTATCCAAAAGATCATATACCAACATACTATTCAAATAAAAATTGGTTTGGTTGATGGACATCGACAACGACAATAGGTGAAAGATATCCAACAACAGTAGGTGAGAAACACCCTCCGGCTAGAGCACCGACAATGATTTAGAAGATATCCAACAACGGCGGTGTGCAGGGAAAGCAGGTAGGACACGATGAATTTTCGGCGGCGAGTTGTAGTGTTTCAGAAGACTAATAGTGTAAAAAAGAATCAGGCAAATTTGGTCACACAGACACTAAAAGTTTGTGATTATTGTAATATATGTATTTAATGTATGAAAAGTGCATTTGTCAAATATACCAAATAATATTTCACAATTTCTTCTTATATTGTAAAAATAAAGTAAATATGCACAAAGTAATGTTTGGCCAAATAGACAATAAACAAATGTAATTCATTAAAAACAAATGTTTATTGTCTGTTTAAGCTATATAAAAATTAATCCAACAAATATACACATAATGGGGCATAATGAACATTTCACAAGTTTCTCTAGATTGTAAAAAAAATAAAAAAGCAATAATTACCACTGTTTAGTTACATAGACACTAAATATATGTAATACTTGATACATAGACATTTATTATCTGTGTAACCTGAATGAAAATTTCACCCGTTAAATACGCCAAATAATAGAGTATCAAGAGCATTTCACAAATTTAATTGTGTTTAAAAGAAAAGAAAAAAACAACAATCAACGTTGTTTAGTTACACAGGCACTAAAGTTCTGTAATTGTTTGAACATAGTCTGTGTACTCTGAGTGAAAATTGCACCACCATCTCTGCCAAAATCAACTACTCCGGCGATGTTGAAGACGAAGAAAGTTGCGGCGATGATCATAGAGGAGTGGGCGACGACGGGGAAGCAGGTGGTGGGGAAAGAATTGAAGGCGTGGTTCGTCGCCCTACTTCGATCCAAATCTCGACGGCGGCGACGACGATGATGGCGGCTTTTTGACGCTTCTGGGCGCCTGCGGGGAGCCCACGCTGTGCAACTTTCAGGGGGCGCCGGGTGGGAAGACATATGGCAGCACCGAGTGTATGAATTAGATCTACAAAAAGTTGAAGAAAAAAAGAAGAAAACCGAAGGAGAGAGATGGAGAGATAAGATTGAGAAATTGGATGGGAAGTGAAAAAAGAGGAGAGGGAGTAGGGAAGAGGGGAGGGAGGAGTATATGGTGTACGCACATTGGGTACACAAGTGGTGTACCCCTAGCGGGACTCGAGGAAATCACAGCCGTTGAATGCTATCTGAACCTCAATGGCTGAGATGAAGAACTACTTTCATTGTTATGATCAACAGACAGTCTATTACCTAACTTTTTTTTCTATTTTACGTCACTTTTAATTAAACAATTTTATTTTTTTTAAATTTTATGCCAAAACCAAATGGGGGGCTTTTTTTGGAACAAGTTACTCAACTTCCAGAGGACCACCATTAATGTCGGCAACAAGACGATTGAGAGTGTAACAATGATAATGTAACAGCTGCAATGTAAAAATGTTGTAAGTATGTTAGTGTAACAATAGCATTGTGAACCTTTTATTTTGACCTTAAAAGATTTGAGGCTTCTATTTTGATATTTTTCATTTTTTACTCATATCCATGGAGTTCTCCCAATGAGTACTCCATTCGTTCTATCTCAAAAGGCCCGAGTTAACTTTGTGAAGATTATTTTTTTAATGAATGAAAAGATACAAAAAAAATTATAAAAAACAAGTGATTGAAAATAAGAGAGAGAGAGAGAGAATTAAAAGTAATTTAACAATGGGTAAAGTGTTTAACATCTAAATCTATTTTTACGATCCAAATGAACAAAACCTTAATAGAAAAAATGTTAAATGTACACATCACACTCATAGCGCACTTAAATAAGTTTACTCGTCACTTAAAATTATAAACTACTCTATTTGTTTGTGCAGATAAAACAATCAGAATCAAATACGGAGTATTTTTTTAGCGATATAAACTCAATTGCAATGTAGTATTTGTTAATAATATTCTCTCAACATATAACGCACAATAAACCAATGCATTCACTCCCGCTGGAGCTCGAACACGGGTTAACTTTCTTGTGAATTTTAGGGGATGAACTTTCCTAGGGAAATTAAACAAACTTTTTAATATATGCACACAATAACACATTTGCGTAATTAACCAAAAGCACAAAGAGACACTTGCATTACATTGTATTTAAACTTTGGTGTCCAAACAATGTGTAATTAGAAAACAACTTAATTACGCAACGTACCAATAGATAGTTACACTAGTACTCCCTCCTTTTGCAAAAGGGCTTCCTATTTTGACTTGGAGCAAAAATAAGGAAGTGTTAAATTATAGTTAACTTCTAATTTTGCCCCTGATGTGATAGGTAAAAGTAAGATGTGATGGATAGATTATTAAAGAAAAAGTATGATGTGATAGGTAGGGTATCAAAAAGTAAGGGTAAAAGTGGGTTTTTATTAGAAAGTGAAAGTGTTTTGTTGGAAGTAGAAAAAATGAAAGAGGAAGTGTTTTTGAGAACGGAGAGAGTAGTATATATTGTATCCAAACACATCCTTTACCTTTACCTTTACCTCCATGATAGTTAGTTATAGTAATGCCTAAGCTAGTAATGTGAGGAGACAACAATGAGAGCCAAAGAACACCTTCTCAAGGAGCATCCTCTCGTGAATCCCGCGTGGCATGGTCGCCTCGAGCATGTCAAACAAGGACGAGTAGTGGAAAAACACCTCGCGAAAACGCGTGGGGAAAAACGGGGTGTTGTAAGACCCGTTAATGGTGGCCATTATGAAAACGTTTGGGTCCAACTTGTGGATTAGGCGCAAAAATGCGTCTCTCGGGCTGTCCGAAACCACGGTCTCATCGAGTAAGTATGTGTGTCTATTTAGGCAATTCACCGCAAGTAACTCGCCCTTGTTTATATTGAGATCTTCAAGCTTAAGCGTTTCCCATTTCTGGGCTATGGCATTGAACTCAAACGGAACGTTGAAACATTTCGCATAGTCGACCAGACGTCGACCTGTTTCCTCAACCCGCTCCGCGGGTCGGAACCCGGGTTGCGGGAAGTCAATGCCAGTTATACGAAGCCTCGGGGGCCCACCGGGCATACACGAAAGACGTTGTATGAAGCTTGGCCATTGGAAACCATAAAGAATGCCAAAATCGATGATGTGGAGTGACGTGGCATCCCGGGATATTAGATGCATGATCGTTTTGTTAGAGAAAGAGTACAAGATCTTCCTGAACGGGCACACGGCTACGAAGAGTTGGAACGCTTTCAACATGTCGGATGCTGGGTCTTGTGTATGTGGGTCCCACAACCCGCCATCCGCGCCTCAAGCCCGTCAGTGAAATAGTGGGCCAGCCTTTGCATCCCGTCTCCGGTTTGGGACGAGTGTTCTCTGATCTGTTTCAGAAACTCGTCTGCAGTCCCCCGGTCATTGGAAGAAACCGCTTGCGCGCAAAGCGTCAATAGCATTCTCAAGTCCACCACTTCAACTCTTTTGGCGTTCTTTGGTTTCCTACCCTGGGAACTCTTCTCTTTATTATACCCTTTCGGATGCCAAGACTGTCGAAGATCAGACTCGTTTTTATTGTCGCTCGACAGTAAAATCATGTCGCACACTTCTGGTTTAACGGTCCATTGTGACGAGACCGCTGGCTGCTTGTAATTTCTATCTGAATCTTTCTCTTCTTCTTCTTCTTCTTCACAGTGCACATTTTTCTTCCCTTTTGACCCTTCTTTCATGATCTGTAAGCTATTGGATGATGAACCGAGGGACGACAGAGAATCATGGTCCCGATTCGGGCATGACTTCAAATCACAATCGCCGACATTGCCATTACCAAAACTACCCATTTGATCAGCGGATGGCGGGTATGTCTCACTGATGGCCTCATAGAAAGACCTTTCGGTCGCTTCAAGGGCGGGGGACTCTTGAAACATGCAAGCCTTCTCTTCCATATCCTCTTCCCTTAGCATCTGGCTAATGTACTTCAGCACCGTGTCACTAAAATCATAGTCCTCATGACCATCAAAGCTCTGTTTGTTCCAAGAATTTTGATTCAGGCCTTCATTGCCTATGTTCTTGGCTACGGAATTCGGGTCGAAATAGGTGTCATCATTCGCTTCTCCATTGAGGTAAAGCTTCACCATTTCGTCCTGTAGATCAAACCCAGAAGTGTTCTGACAAGAACCACTTGAATTTCCATCCATGGCCATCTAATCTTCAAGAAAACAAGAACCCTAATTCGAGTTTTCTACTTGTCCAAGCACTGCAAAAACAAAATTCAAGAACCCATTGATCAAGTTAAACCCTCCAATACTGTCCCAATCATTCCAAACATAGAAATGACAATAACTACATCATTCCAGATTCAAGAACCCAGAAATGTCACAATGCATTTCTTTTAAGATCGGATGGTGAACAGAAAAGAAGCAGAAAGCTGTAAAAAAAAAAGTAACTTCAAGTGCACATTAATAATTAGTATGTCAAAAATAGTCTTTAACAGGAAAATAGTAATGAAATTGAGATGAAAAATGAAATCTTTATGCTCAAGAACACAAATAAATTGAAAATAAAAACACAACTCGGATTATATGTTTGCCTACAAATAACAATTTTTTCACTAAAACCTGTATAGAATAAAGAAAGTGGTACCTGGGAAGAATAGTGTGGTGGGAAGATTAACCTCAGTGATTATTACCGCATTATTATGAATGGGTCCACCTAAAGAAAGAGGATTAAAGAAAAGAAAAAAGATTAGCCCGGATTAAAGAAAGAGGATTAAAGGAAATCAGCAGAGACAGAGCAATCGAGATCCACTGAACTGACTGGGCTACTTCACATGATCACAAGCCGCTACTGTTTGGGAACTCATTGATCAATTTAATTTAAAAAAGGATGAATTCCATCACGAAAGGATCCCTCAGACCTGGTCTGACGGTTATTAGGAGAATAAATTAGACTTTGATATGACAAAGAGTGGAGCATGCACTTAATATTTGCAGCCATATGCTTAATATTATTGTCTTCCAGCCCAATTGTCGGGAATCAGAGTAGAGTCTCACCGCCCTTTGGGAACTCATTGATCAATGGATCGGGGTGGATACAGATCGGAATGCAACCCTCATTTGGTTGAAATGTGATCATTCTCATCATTTTGTTTGTTTGTTTGTTTGGTTAAAGTCATCATTTTGTTTTTTAATCCTTGACAAATTCATTTTACTTTTCAGTTGATCATACCCGTCTCTAAATAAATTACACTTCATGTAAAGCGAAAAAAAAATCAAACTTTTTAATTCAATATAGTTTTAGGTTTGTATAAAATTAAAAAAAGAATTTGCATATTTAAAAAAAACATTAAAATTTTTATTAAAAAAAAGCGTCAAGAATATATAATTTTATCAAAAAATCAATGTAAATACAAAACTTTTCATTATTTTTAAAGATTAAAGAGTGTAATTGATTGGAGGATGAAGGGTAATGTTTTTAAGAGTAATGTTAGGGGTATACTTTAGGAAAAAATTACTATCGGATGACGTAAGTTTTGTTGAAATAATTAATAGGTAAATGCATTTACATTTTGTTGTAAAGACTGAGATGAGATAGTAGTATTTGGCTAATGACACTCCAAAAATGTATTATTTTTATTTTTTTCCTTAATGGTTTATGTTAATTAATAAAGGCCAATGCCTTCACTTTTTAGTTTTTTTCTTTATCTTTTTCTTTTTCATACAGTTTTTTTTTCAATTCCTTATGTAAGTATTTTTTAAAAAAAATTCAAAAATGTTTGTCTAGTATAAAAAATAAATGTAATAAAAATGACTACAGTACAACATAATAAGAAAATAAATGACTACATATACTCCCTCCGTCCCCGAAAGATGTTCCTTTATTGACTTTTTGGAAAATTAAGGGAGGGATATTTTGGTGTTGACGTTCCAAAAATACCCTTGATGTGATGGATAAAAGTAAGATGTGATGGATAGATTATTAGTAAAAAGGTATGATGTGATGCATAGATTATTAGTAAAAAGGTATGATGTGATAGGTAGGATATGGAAAATAAGGGGTCAAATCGTTTTTTAATAGATAAAGGAATGAGTTTGTGGGACATAGAAAAACGAAAGAGAAAGATGTTTCAGGGACGAAGGGAGTATTTTTTTAACGGTCATTAATGAAATAGTGGACGACATGTCCCCTCCTAGTCTTTACAAAAAAATTAAAGGCCATTAATGTTTTTTTTAAATGTAGGGACTTGCAAGTTATTATAAAAAAACTCGCACCACTCAGATGTAATTTTTTTGTATACTTTAGTATACAAAGTATAACCCATTTGTACACTACCAAGCTCCTCACCATACTTTTTTTATTCATTTCTCTCTCTTCATTTCCACAAGGATCTTTGGAAAGCCCGTTCAGCCCTCCCTTTCAAAAAGAGCGGATATGTATAACCTTTAGTACCTACATGAGCGGGCCGGTCCGATCCTGAATTGTATATGGGCGGATTTAGAAGTTACGTTTAGCCCATCTGAGCCAACATATCCGCCCATTATTATCAAATACATTTACTTTATTATTAATTACCTAGCCCGTATACATTTTAAAATTTTCTATACATGTATAATGGCTCAATTCACTTACCTCTCTTGAACAAAAATCAATAGTCTTTGCTATGATGAGTTTATTAATTGTGCAAAAATAATTCTATTATGCTTTCTATGTAAGTGCAGCGACTGATGATTTATAAAGAGTTCATTGTTTTTCTTGATGTTTTTATGCAAAAAAGATTTTCTTGATATTTTTCTCAGGCCGGGCGGCTCGTGGACAGTTTGGCCCGCTAAGGTAGGCGGGTATGGGTAAAGAGTTTAGCTCATCATTTACGGGCCAGGCCAAGCCCGCTCATGTAAATGAGTTAATAATTTGTACTAAGCCTAGCCCCGGATCCTTGTTTGTACGGGTTTAATTATCCACATCAGAAGTGTGGTAGAGATTTGTTGGTGTGTAAATGGAGTACATTTTTTTATGCATCTCTAGCGTTTTTTGTATTTTAAACACTCTTGTAGCTTTGAATTTGTAAGGTAGGTCCTATCATAATTAAAAGTGAAGTATATTCGTTGAATTCCTATCGCCAAAACCTATCTAAGGAATAAAATTTTGGTTATATAAAAAATAGATTATTGATAAGTCTATTATTTATGTATGTGTTATAGAGTATTATATTTTGTTAGACTTCTTGACTTTTTTTAGATTAAATTGTATGTCATTGAACAATATTGTGATTATGGACTAATTTGTGTTAATTGGTTGATTTTAGATCCAAATTCAAATAAAAGGCTGAATTGCAAGCAAGATTAAAATCATGGACTCAACTTACTATATTTAAAAAAAATTTAAAGTTCCAAAAAGCCAGGACAATTAGTAATGGTTCGGGATGTCTTTATTCAAATTTTTTTTATAAAATCCAAACATACACGGTAATATGTAACCTCTAAAGAATAATTTAAATGTTATATATATATATACACACACACACACATAGGAGCCGGTTCAGGTGAGAATGTACTTTGGTGAAACAAATAAGAATAAAATTTAGCTAGCCTTTGGATCTGATACATCGTGCGGCTTGGATTGCATCATGCACTCAGATTTTGAGATAGTGCATTTTCAAAAAAATTTGGTGCTTTTCGACATGACGCATTTTAAAACCATTTTGGTGCACCCTTAGACGCACACACATATTTAATAAATAACTCTCAAATAGAGTGGAATAGAAACATGTTTACACATTCAAAAGAGTAACGTTTTACTTTGCAAAACTTATAAATTAAAGATGGATAAAAAGTAATGTGGATGAATATTTTAGTCTAGTCTAGACATTAATGTCTATATCTCGAAAATAAACAAAAAATGTGATGTTATTTTTCGTTATTATCTCACTTATATAAATAATCAAATAAGCACTTCCTCCATCCCATAAATTCTTTCATTTTTTGACTTTTTTTTATCAAATCTATATTCTAATGTGAACCTAATTATATTAAATTTATATCATAAATAAATATGATTTTTTCACAATTTGTGATCGAAGCGTGTAATTGTTTGAATAAAAAAATCAAAACAATAAGGAGTTTAAGGGACGGAGGAGAGTATATTTATATATTTTATATCTATAATGAGACAATGCGACGGAACAAGAAAAAAACTATTTGTCTCGATCTCGTTCCCTTTAAAACCGGTTCAGAACGGGTTTGAATTGGGAAATTTTTTTACCAATCCAAGTAGTACGAGACATTGTTAAAATAGAATCACGGTGTTTCAGAATGTGACAACTCATTCAAGATTCTTATCTACTCCTAGACTAGAAGAGATTAACCCTTTGTTTGGATGAGAAAAAGACAAGGGTAGAAAAGAAAATGATAAGAAATTAAGAAGAGAAAAAAGAAGTAAGACAGAGTAATATTCGTTTGGATGATGATAAAAAAGTGATAAGAAAAAAATGTGATGCAACAAAAAAGATATTTTTGTCCTTTTTAGAGGGATGGTGAAAGATTAACAATTAAGGACAAAATTGTAAATTTTTTTATTTTTCTCTCCCAAAGATACTTTTCTCACCACATGAGGTAAGAAAATTTGTGAGGTCACTGCAGGATCGTGTGGTTCTAGCTTGAGAGGGTGAGATTTGTTGAGCATAATAATAATAACAACAAGCTCGTCTCATGGTGGCCGGTGGGAGAGAACAAAGAAGAACCAAAATAAAATGATTCTACCTATCTAATTTCTAATAATGTTTTGGGCTTTGGTTTGGTGTCTTTATATATAGGAGTAGTGTTTATATTATTTTCCGATGTGGGATGAATCCCAACACCCCCCCCTTCAAGTGGTAACTAGCGTGGTCTAGTTACTACTTGGATGAATGAATGGATCTAACATCTCAATCTCTTTATAGCTAGCCTCACGAATATCAGGATGAATCAAACTTGGCTCCGATACCATGTTGGAATTTTGGTGGACCGAGTGATCTCGGCAGAGTATTAAGTATATTTGATCGACCACTTACCAATATAAAGTTCGGATCTACTTTCTATCCAAAAACTTAAGGCGGTAATAGACAGTTTTTCACTTTTCTTTATATGGGAGTAGCGTTTATATTATTTTTTGATGTGGGATGAATCCCAACAACTTACGACCAAAACATGGGCTCAAATTGAGGATTTCAAGGACTACGCGTGGTTAAAACCTACGTACACGCTGTTTGACAACACCGAAAGTAAGACTAGATATGATTGTCTAGATATGATTGCACGGTACAAAACAATCTTGTCAAAGTAGCTGACATTAGCATTGTATTGACATCGTCTTTTGACCTATAAATATGTATGTAAGTTCTCATCCGAAGAGATTTTGATTCTATTTTCTAGCCCTTACGTGTTTAGGTGCTATTCTATTTTGCCTCACCACTCATAATAATAACAACTAGCTAGACTACAATAATAATCTTTGAAGTGAAACAAAATTTGAATCACACCAAAATACTCAAGCAACACAACATTGTCATCAATTGTCATATGAGCACACACACAATGGGGTCATGGACTCATGACACTAGTGGACTTTAATTTACAAGATTGGATTGTGCTTATAATATATTTTGACTTTATTTGTTTTGCTAAATGCATGCAGAAA